ATGGAACAATATTCTTGAAAAGGTTAATTCCAAATTAAAATATTCGATTACATAGACATTAACTGAACGGGTGAACAAACATTGGTCTATTAGAGAGGGTAGCACGACCATCATTTCATTGGGTTTTTTCCTATTCATATGGAGTCAGTAGAGGATGCATCATTTTCGTTAAATATGAAGCTCAATACACTACAATCGTGAAATAAATAGGAACTAAATGGTCACAATCCATAAAGCCTAATGATCACACTATCATTTTAGTGTAACTATAATGTATACCATAGCTTTCTCTATTTACCACTTGTATAAGAATGGTCTTGTATATTGACAAAACCATTGTTCCTGCCATCTTTTACTTCAAAGTTGAAGTTGGAGATGGGGCGTACATGCTAAGAGACACACTGACACATCCTCTTTCCAAGCACCATTTGTATGTAAGGGATGAGTTCATCATGAAACCCCCTACAAAAATATCAACATTTGTTTTTCATGTAATACTAAAAAGTATATATATATATATATATATATATATATATATATATATATATATATATATATATATATATATATATATATATACTGTAACACCCACAGATTCAGGTTAGTCAATTTAGAGACAATAAGCGTCAAAAATAACTTTTTTTGATATAAGATTATTTAGAATAAATAATCTTGACCAAGTTATAGTATATGTCACAAGGGTTCCGTACATATAAAGAACGCTGAAATCCGAGTTATAACAGAGAAGTTATGACTCGTCGAAGTTTTACAGCAAAACCGGCACGACACCGGGAATCGTAAAAAGTGAATTTACGATAAAATACTTTCTAGCCTTAGAGATCTAAATGAAATTCATAATATATGTTAAACCGAGAGTGTGCATAAAAAGAACGTCCAAATCTGACTTCGTATGAGGAAGTTATGATTTTTCTAAGATTTAGCATAGCAGTGTACAACCCGAAATTCAAATTTTAGATCGGTCGATTTTTAACCAAAACAGTCTAAACGAGAATTTAAAATCTCATTAATAGGAGCTCAACGATAAAAAGACAGTCGAGAACTGAGCTCGTATGCGAAAGTTATGGACGAAACTTAGTCCCTACTCTTCAAGCGCGGTAAATTCGATACCGATTTGTAAATCTAAGATGTAATGAGAATTAGCTGACGGCGTCTAGATGAAAGTTGTAGTACTCATAAACACCAACACGTGGATATAAAGAACGTCAAAAATGGAGTTCGTATGAACGAGTTATAATTTTTAATAGCACATTTACGTATTAAAATAAAGCGTAAATCATATATACGTCTACATATATATACATATGTATATATCATTAGAAATGTATCGACGATGCGGTCGTTATAAGACTAATGTTGAGTACTTTCGACATTAGTTTAGTACAAATATCATTAAATCTATTTAAAATAGTATTATAAAGGGGTGTTTAATCATTTAAGTAAATATAGATGGTGGTTTTTGAAAATTCAATTACTATAAATAAGAGCCTCTAGACTCTCATATTTCTTGCACCATTCTCTTGATTTAAGAGTCTTTCTCTTCTTATCCCCCGAGCATTTCGGTCCTTCGTGATCCGACTTCTCTTTTAGTAGTTTTAGTATATTAAGGTGAGCACTGAAGCGCTGCAAGAATCTTTCTTAGAAAGATTTAGCGACGAAGTTCTTAGTAGTTTTAGTTATGTTTACTCTATTTTAATATAACTTATATTTAAAATTAGTATTGTTATTATGAACTTATAATAAATATTTGGGCTATTATTATGACTTATATAAGTGTCGTTATAATTTCTTTTTAACTACTCGCGGTACGGGGAATCTGGTTTAAAGGGACGCATAGGGTTGCTGGATTTCAGAAGTGCTATATGCCAAAATGGTCCTGCCTTCCGGTGTTTATGTCTGGCCTCTGTCTGTACATAGTGGTTGGAAAATAGTGTTTAAACGCTTATATAATAATAATAATAATAATAATAATAATAATAATAATAATAATGCTAAGACTAATAATTAGTCATGGTAAATATTAGACTAAAATCTAGTGGTAATAATATTAGGTTTCGTCGAATGAAAATATATTGTTAAGAAGAGAAGCGCTGTCCGAGTTTGGAATCATGACTTTAACAAGTGAGTGCATAGTTACTTTCATCTTACACATATATATGAAGTATTTTATATAAATTACGTGTTATGTGTGCATATTATCTGTATACTTGCTATCTTTGCTGGATGAACGATTTTATACATGTTTTAAATAATTTAAATTGTATATGTATTTTATATCTACAAAATATGTTGGGTAAGACATGGGTAGATGAACGATGAGGGATGAAAGCTGATATAGAGGAACATTGGCAGTATGGACGTAGTGCCCTATAGGTGAACATTGCAAGCAATGGACCTAGTACCCTATAGATGAGCATTGGCAGCTGCGCCACAACCTGTAGATGTTTTTGATCTACAATGTACTCTAAACATCCTAGCAGCTGTGCTCTAAGGATAGCATCGGCAGCTGCGCCTAATAGAGAATATCATAACCTTGGCAGCTGCGCCTAATAAAGAATGTCACAATTCTGGCAGCTGCGCCTAAATGATAATATTGGCAGCTGTGCTTAATAGATAATATTAACAGCTGTGTCATTGGCAACGATGGACTTCATGCCTATTCCTTAGGAATAAATAATGATGAATAGATGATTCTTAGGGAAGATACTTAAGAATAAAGAAGATAATGGGGATGGGTAATTGGGTTTATTGTTTGATGATTAAACATAATAACTTTATTATTGTGGGTTGAAAACCCTATGTACTCAACAGGTTTCCCAACATGACCCACTCAGTTTATTTGTAGCACAGGTGTCGATATGAAGTTACATTACACTGAGAGATTAAGGAGATGTAAATCACTAGTGATAATGAATGTAAGTACTGTTTATGCTTATGTTTCTGTATTGACAATGACATCCCAATGTTTTAAAAATGAATAAAATACATTTCTTCGGAAATGCTTGATAACGTATTTATCATGTTTTTCTGGGAACAAATTCCGCAAAACTTTTCTTTAAAAGGTTACTCTGATTTTCAAAATAGCATAAACAAATCGGTCTTTTCTGACCGTGAAAATGGGGATGTCACATATACCTCCTCCATTACTGCATTGAGAATATCATGTACATAGCCATGGATAACCTCAATGAGTGTCGTTATTAATAGATCATGTTCATCTATAAATATCATGTACATGATACTGAAAGATCTTGTATGCTCAAGAATCATATTAAAGTGAAATTGCTAAGTAACATATGATACTAATGTGTCACACTAACAACAACTTGATACAATTGATTATTTATTAGAAATTGATTTTAATAAATATTCAATAAACTCTTATAATTAAATTGGAAATTATTTATTTCCAGGAAATAAAAATTTTCGTTAGCAGGTAACATTAGATAATTCATATGACATGAGTTAATAAGTCATGGACAACATTTTGGACTAGATAAATCCTTTTGTCTTTTATCAAAAAGTTAAAATTTATATTTTATAAATCAATTTATAAAATTTATAAAACTTTGACTTTCTTTTATAAAACCTATAACTAGTTAGACTAGTTATGCACTTTTGATTATTTTATGCAAAAGAAGGAAACATGGCTTATAACTTATTTTAATCTAGAGAACATGTCTTGAAAGCATGAGATTCAAAAACTATAAAGTGGTATGAGTTATCTAAATGGCAAAAGACCTTACGAGTAAAGAACTAGCTTTTAAAAAAGGGCTTGGAACTCTTTCATTTTGCTAGAATTAAAATACTATAAAGTGGTATGAGTTATCTAAATGGCAAAAGACCTTACGAGTAAAGAACTAGCTTTTAAAAAAGGGCTTGGAACTCTTTCATTTAGCTAGACAAAAACTTAAGATGCATTTGTGCATGCTTACTCTCTTACTTTTGTTCATCACTTAAAAAAGAACACTTGCTTATGCTCTCTTGAATCAAATACTTGGGTATTTGCTTCAAGCTTAAGAGCTAAGAGTTTTAGACTAGCATCTACATCAAGTTGGTTTCTTGTTGGTGTCTCTTGATTTCATCATTCTTCATCAACTTCCAAGTCTCCCAAAAAGATCCAAAGAACTATAAATGTTGTTCTTTTTTCTTTTTCTTTTTCTTTGGTTGTGTTTGTTTTCTTTCCAAGCTTTGCAAGATGATCCTTGATGGGTTTAACTTGTTTATGTTATTAAAAAATGATCAAGTCTTCCGTTGCCAACTATTATGTTTTTTAAACAAGTTTTTGAATAAAAACCCAACATATATTAGGAATATTAAGTGTCATTATATTAAAACAAATGTTACAGAAACACGTTCTTGCCTATTTATCATGACCAATATTGTCTCGCCTATCACGATGTGTCAAAATTACATGTTGACGCCTAGCTAAATTTTCTTCGATATTAGACATTGCATACACAGAACATGGTTGCGAGAACAAAACTTCTACTCCTCAATTTTTTTAGCCCTAGATTCTAATGTCATAAACAAATTCCAACAACAATAGCCATGATATGAATATGGGAAGGCATGACTAACGACAATGTGGATGTAATCAACCATATTAGGACCACAATTTCGAACTTTGTATCATGTGCAAATCGTATGATAGGGGAATAGTATGTTGGTTTTCGTTGATGGCAACTACTATGCACATTGTGCATAAGTAATTTCGTTTTAGAAGAACATAGAAATATCCGAAATATACAAATGGTTCATCATTCATTTTTATCAACAATTTAGTTCCTAATTATTAGTTTGCTCAATATCCCACCAAACATATGATCATTTTTTTTAATATCTCCTATCCTGTATTTATTAGGTATTTTTGTGATTTGCCTTTATTTAATTTTGTTAATCTAAACTAGTTTTTTTATAGAATGGAAAGCTTTTGTGTAGATAATATTTGGTATAAAAAAAGATCTTTGCCCGCCTTTTCTATTTTTCCCCTTCTCCTTTCTTTCTTCCCAAGCACAAGAACCCTAAAACCCCTATCATTCTTTCACAAAAATTTCTCACAAATCAAAAACCATATCTCCTTGTTCTCTATTTGAAATATGGTGGTCGGTAGAATTACCTCCCGGATTGCAAGAACCGTCGTTACACGGTACCAAATTTCTTCGATCCTCCACGGCCGACCTGATAATCGTTACACGATTCCAATAATCGGAAACCATTTTTCTGGCTCACAGAACAAGGTAATCATCTACAACTTGAAATCATTTCCAAGTATATATGTATTCATTTGTTTTTACTGTTACGTTTTACATCAGCTAGGGTTTTTATCAGGGTTTAAGGGGCTGTGCGTTGTGTGCGAGGACTTTTAGGGGCTGTATTACCAAGTTTTATGGATTTTCATTTGAAATAAGGATTTTGATATGCTTATTGTAGTTTCTGAATCCTAGCACGAATTTGCCAAAATTTATGCTTAGAAACATATGCTTTTGCACATAGGTTCAAACTAATAAAATGACGATGAATAGAGATCGATAAAGTCTAGTCAGCCAGCTTTAGCTTTTAGCGTTGTAATGTTAGGGTTTATCGTTTCTTATGTCTGTTAAAATTGCATCGATTTCTGTTTCATATTTGAACTTGGGCATGAAAATGCATGCTTTATCATCAGCCTCTTCACAGGACAGAGGCTGCTGAAACTTATAATTATAACAATGGATGATAGTGTAATTCGCTTACTCTTTTATATATTCTAATTAACAACTTGACCTTTTTACACCAAGGTGTATTGATATTGTTGTATTTCTATTTTTGTGTTTTGGTAACTTTTGAAACTTTTGCCTACCCTTTTGTGTAACTTTTTTAAAATCTTAAAAAACTTTTGTGATTGTTGGTTTAATTGTTGCAGGTGATAACAGGTCAAATATCTCGAATACATAATTCTGTTCTTAGTTCATCAGCCTTCCAAAGATTTGGGTTCTCATCATCTGCATCTACACAACCCAATGAAAAGGGAACTTCTGAAAATGGAAAAGAAAATACAAATGATGAAAATTTGGGTCAAAAAGAAGGTTCTGATGATTTGACAATGGAGGATTTGATTGGACTTGTAACTGAGAAGGAAGAACTCTTAAAGACAAAGCAAGAAGAGATTAAAAGTTTGGAAGATAAACTTCTTCGAAGCTATGCAGATATGGAAAACGTTATGGCAAGGACAAAAAGAGAGGCTGAAAACTCAAAAAAGTTTGCAATTCAGGTTAGGGTTTAATGCAATCTAATCACATAATATAGCAATGGAAACAAAAATAAATAAACCCTAAAAACCATGATCACATTACTAAACAATTAGCCATTCAAAAATTTTGTTGTCCATATAACATGATAACTTCAAAGTTTAGACTATATTTTGTTTTTTTTTGGATTAAACCTCAACTTTGTTTTTTACCCAAAGAAGACCTTGCATTTTTTTCATTTATTCTGATTCAGTCCTTTTAGTAGGTTTACCAGTAATTTTCCGGAAAAGCCCTCAACTTTTTTTTCCTGAAAAAACCCTTAGATTTTTACTTTTTTTCTTTTTTCGAATAAACCCTCAACTTTTTTTCTCTGAAAAAAGGGTTAATCACATAAATGACCTTGTATTTTGTGTTTTTTCCGAAAGAACTTGTATTTTTTCTAATTTTACCCTTTTAGTAATTTTTTTTCCATAAAAAATTGTAAAATGTGAGGTTTTTTCGAGAAAAACTAAAAAAGTTGAGGGTTTGTTTCGAAGTAGTTAGAAGGTTGAGGGTTTTTTATTGAAAAAAAGACAAAGTTGAGGGTTTTTCGGAAAAAATGAAAATATATAAGGTTTTTTTCAGACGAAAAATATAGTTGAGGTTTAATTCGGAAAAACACAAAATAGAAGGGCTTTTATGAGATTAACCCCTGAAAAAGTTGTCTAATGTGAGGTTTTTTGTAAAAATAGAAAAAATCTGAGGGTTTTTTTGAAAAAAAAGCTGATTGTTTATCCGGTAAAATAAAGTCTAAAACCAAAATATTACACTTAAACTTGCTAAAAGGGACAAATTAACAAAATGGAAAAATGAAATGTCATTTTTAGAAAAAAAAAAATTGTTGAGGTTCAATCCGGGAAACACTCAAAATATATAGGTCTTTTATGATATTATTATTAACCCTCCAAGTAATTGTCCACATATTATATGTATTTAAACGGGTTGAGCTATAGTTAAAAAAAAAAAAATCAACTCTAACCCAATCCATTTGACTAAAGAGGTAGAAAATGTCGGCCCAAACCTTTAAACTTTTGGTTAGGTAATTTTTGCAAGCTATTAATGTTGGTTTTACTGGATATTCTATGGTGCAGAATTTTGCAAAAAGTTTACTAGATGTTGCAGACAATCTAGATAGAGCATCATCAGTTGTAAAAGAGAGTTTTGCAAAGCTTGATACATCTGGAGACACTGCTGGAGGAGCTGTTCCACTTCTGAAAACACTTCTAGAAGGTGTCGAAATGACCGAAAAACAGCTATCAGAGGTAACATAATCTTTCAAATCTACTTTCATTAAACAACATTTGATTGATGAAATTTGTTTTTCTCTTTTTCTTTAGGTTTTCAAGAAGTTTGGAGTGGAGAAATATGATCCAACAAACGAAGAGTTTGATCCAAATAGACATAATGCAGTGTTCCAAGTACCCGATCCTACCAAGGCCCCTGATACTGTTGCAGTTGTGCTCAAAGTATGCGATGATTGAAATCCTACCACCAAAACAAATTTAATAAAAAAAATAACGTTTTAATTTTTATTATCAATAAAGTTTAACCTAAATTGTTTTGATTTTTGTAGGCGGGATACACGTTGCATGATCGTATCATACGACCTGCTGAAGTTGGTGTCACCATAAAAGTTGACTAGAACATGTTTGACCTTGATATTAATTATATCTTTTGAACCTTTTGATTTACTTCATTTTTTGTATCGGATGTAATAAAATATGGATATGCATTAAAGGCTGTTGAAACTTATATTTGAGAACAAACACACACTGGGGGTTATTTGATTTAAACCTAAAGATGTCACACAGAGAGAAGGATTATCTACAACATAGTCAACAAAGATTAATTTACATGAATCCTACAAAGTACACACACTTAATGACAACTTTCATCATCTTCACATCTTCACAATCATGTTCATAATAGAGCTCTTAAGTTATTCAGCGTGCAAAACCCCTCTGAGCAGCCTTAACCCAGTCAGCCACTTTGTTCTCACCACCTAAATCATGATCTTCATCATGCTCTTCCATTTCCATTGGCTGGTGGTTCAAGTCTTCGGTTGATGGCTCATTCTGAGACTGAGGCTGAGGCTGAGACTGATGTTAATGAGATAATTATACATAACAAGTTGTACTGTGTTTGTTGTTGAAAATAGTAAGTAAAAGCTAATGTAAATTAGTTTGGCTTCATTACCTGAGATTTAGCTGAAAGGACATCATCAAAGTTCCTTTCATTTTCATTATCAGTTTCTGATGTTTCTTGAGCAATAGGTTGATGTGTCTTGCTTTCTTCTTTAACATCATTATCAGTCCTTTCAGATTCCTTTTTCTTCTCCAACACTACAATCTGTACAAGTAATTATTGAACTTAGTACACACTTATTTTACCAAATGTTCACCTTTCTGGATTGATACTAAATACTGATAATATGTTTGTAAAAATTAATAACGATAAAGCAAATAGGTAGTTCGAATTTGAATCTATGGTACTGAAAATAGCAAGAACACAGAGTAATTGATGGTAATTACTTATTTTGATGATTTAGATCGATAAAGGGTAAAATTGAGGCAAAGTTAATGTTTCTCCTAATTTAGTAATTTAATTTCGAAACGTAACTCATGAATTTGAAGTAAAACGAATAAACAGAGATAATTCTGAGAGTGACTTATCTAAAAGTAAAACCCCAATCAGTTCGATAAAACCTAACGGAACGTTAAAAACCCCAAACTTAATATGCGGAACTTGAGCTTACCGGAGCATACCGCAGCTTCCGCCGCGGTCTTTCTTCTGCTCCAGACTCCGTTTCTTCGCCGGACGGAGCTGAGGAAACAGGAGTCCAACGGCGAATTCGTACAGTAGAGACGTTGCTGTTGTTGTTGTTGCTAGAATTGTTGTTACTGTGGTTGTAAGTGATGGAAGAAGACGATGATGAGACATGGACCCACTGCTTTTGCCACCTTCTCACCGGTCCGGTGAACACCGGCGCAGAGCCGTACCGGGAAGATGGTCGACCGGTACGCGAGCCGATTCCTTCCATAGAGCAGAGACAGAGATTGGACTGGGTACTGAGAGTACAACTGTTGTCGAGTACTTTGAGTATTCGATCTTCAATGAGGACCAAGGAGCCATGTCTACGGTGAAAACGACGCCGTATGTCGGTTTTCGGGGTTTAGCTGGGGGTGGATGGCACGTGTGGGTTAAAGGGTCAATTTTTCAGTTTGTACCCCCTACTTTTTAACACTTTTAATTATATACTTCTTCTTTTCCATTTTTCTATAAATTTATATACACACATGTGTGAAAATTCAAATATTGTATGGCATTAACAAAAACTAGGTGAAAATACAGAAAAGGGACTTAAAGCATCGGTAAGCAAAAACCTATATAGTAAGTAGTCTGGATGCTAGACTTTTAAACACTATCATTTGAAAAAAGATGTGCTATAAATACTCTTTTCATTAAGATATAATGTCATATCAGAAGAGGTGCACAAACATTATTACACTCACATGTAGAGATACACAACATTGAAGGGTAAGTATAAAAATTGTCTTTAAAAATCAAAAAAGAAATCTAGTAACTGAAAACATCATTAGTGTACTTTGAACCGAGTAGCAAGATATGTGATTAAGGGGTTGTTTTATAGTTGTTATTGATTTAATCTAATTGAGTTAAGGTTTGATAGAGTCAAACTAAATTATTAATCAGATCTAATAAGAGACCTATTGTAGGCTATATTACCGAATTAGAAACTGCTGATTGTGATATCAAATAATACTTGGTCAAACTCAATAAAAGACATATCAAACAATTCTAGATTATTGATATATAACATAATCACTAAATTAATTACCGACGTTTAATTGTTTATTACTACTTTAAATAGATTATTGATATATAACCTTGATTTTGATTTTGAACTATCAAAATATCTAATTCGTGTTTTAAATATAATTGAGTTTGTTATTCAACTTAACTCGTAAACATTCTAATTTGTGGTTCAAATCTAATTGACTTTGTTATTCAAGTCAGCTCGTAAGCAATGCGAATTGAAAGTGTTAACAAGAAACCAATTAAGGGACTTTATATGGTAAGGTGTGACGTATAATGATCTAAAAGGAAATGAATGTAGAATTCAAAGTCTTGTAAACTTATGGGTGTAAATGAGTCGAGTCGAGTCGATTATTGCCCTGAAGCTCAACTCGATTAAAATACTCGAGCTCGAAGCTCGACTCAAACTCGCCTTGAGCCTAAATTTGAATCTCAGACTCGGCTCGTTAAATATTCGATACCGGCAAGTTCGGCTGGACTCGACTGACTCGACTAAGCTAAATTAGAATCATTAAAGTTTAATAAAAAATTAAAAATATTTCACATACTAATACATTGTCCAAACTAGCAAATAATTCACAATAAACTATTTAATGTAAATATAGCATCAACCATCTATATCATTGTCTTTATTTATATCCAAAATATCAAAAAAAAAAAAAAAAAAAAAATTCTACCATCATTTTTTTTTTCAAAAACAATGACAAAATTGCAAAAAAAGTCATTGTAGTTTGTCAAAACTTGCTACTTGGATACAAATTTTTTTGGACTAGCACCATTGGTCAAAAACTTTTATTTTTTTTACAATTTTGGACTAGTACAATATATATATATATATATATATATATATATATATATATATATATATATATATATATATATATATATATATATATATATAGAGGTTCAAGTGTTTAAAGTAATTATTGTGTTATTGTATGCATAAAGGTGGGCCAATCAAAATTTAAAAAATAAATAAATAATCAAATAAATAAATAAGGGTAATTTAGTAATTTGATAAATAATTTCTACAAATACACTCCTATAATTATGGTAATTACTTTGACCTACCTTTATCCATTTTTAAAACAATAAACAATATTGTATTCTATCCCATTCGATCCTCCCTAACCCTAGCTCCAAAACAGAGATTTCGCTCTTTCTCCTCCGAATCAGAGGTGCGAATATAGGAGGAGCGATTTCAATCGGCGACAAGGCAGGTCGTCTATCTCTTCATGTACTTCACATGCGTGTATTCGAACCTTCTCTCGTTCTTCCCATCGTCTTTCCTCCAATCGTCACCGTCTTATCCCCAATATCCACCGCCGTTCTCCTCTTCGCCGCCACCTCCGCCAAATCTCCACCGCCTTGCCATCCCGCCTTCATTTCAGTTCTCGCTTCTCACCTGTAACCCCCAAAGCCATCGCAACTTCATCTCCACAGTTCTCACCTGGTATGACTAGGTTGTCTTATTCACGACTGATTTACCGGATTAGGTTGTCTTATCACTCAATTTCACTTATTAATGTTAATTTTAGGGTTTACCGCTTGTTTGCAGATGCTATTGGCGCTCATGATGATGTTGCTTAGAAGCTTGGATTTGAGAAGGTCTCTGAGTAGTTTGTTGAGGAATGCAAGTCGACAGCTGTTTTGTATAAACATAAGAAGACCGGTTGCGAAATAATGTCTATGTCAAATGACGACGAGAATAAGGTCTTTGGCGTAGTTTTCCGAACTCCTATGTAAGTTTCCTTTTCAGAATCTAAAAACTGTTGTGTATTGTTTACTGCTCGTATGCATTGTAATTGAGACAACTGATTTGTCCATAATCCATTTGTGCATAACTGCATATGTTATACTAATCGTCACTTCATCCAACTACTAATGCAGGAAAGATTCAACTGGAATTCCTCACATATTGGAACACAATGTATTATTTGATACATAATTTGGATTAATTAGATCTCCTCTGTTTGGTAATTAGTCATTTTCCTTTTGCATAATATTAAAGCGATAGTTGAGAACTAAATATCAGACAAAGCGATAATTGAGAAGACAATGTGGAGATCAATTTGTCCCATGAAGTATGAAAGTAATTGTTTAAAGGTGATTATTTTGACCACTGTAATTGTTTACATTTTACTTAATGCTTTTTAATTATTGAAAGCTTTTTATCATATTCTATTATGTTATGATAATGCTGTGCAAGACTATCCATTGTGTGGGTTCCTAGAAAGACATATTGAAATAGATGGATTTGATGTTTTATTTTAATATGTTCAATTTGAAAGTGTTTGGCTGCATTTTATGAATTGATTCATATTTCAATTTATGTTTTTTTTTCTTCTAATTTAACACTTCATTTATGTGGACAGTATAGGATCTTGACAAGGTTGAATTCTGAAAAGGTATCAAGTATGTTTATGTAGATGATTCAATGGATGATATTGGTAAGATTCCAATTCTATTGGAATGGAATCACGAATTCCAATTCTGTTGGAATGGAATCACGAATTCCTATTCTGTTGGAATCACAGAAGTTAATGCTTGAAGAACGGACCACAAAATTGAAACGGACCACATTATTCTTTTAGAATGTATTAGTCGTTGTTAGATTTTGATGTTTTCTTTCCCGTTTTGAAAGTTTTTTTAGTTTTATTCTTTAACAATAAATGTAATTCTTATCAATTGTTACCTGTATTCTATAAGAAATAATTTATTTTTTGATTTTATTCTTCAATTTATTGTTCAAAAATTTGTTATTCTACCAGAAGTTTTTAAATTCATGATCAAGAAATAGGTTCAAGAATATTTTTATTATTTATGGTTCAAGAATATTTTTATTTTTGAGTAAATAATTAAATAAATAAACATATTCTGTCAGAATGTCCGAATTAAAATAGTTATAATTCATAAAATC